TATGATCCTCTGCTGTGGATCAGAGACTTTTGACCCCACGCTACCCCACAGGGAAGCAGAGGCCTTTGACTCCAATTTACAAAGGAGTCAGCAGGGGACTTGCTTGAGGTACATGAATGGCTAGAAAGAGTCCAGTACCCCTGGGTCCAGTTTCCAAGCTCAGAGACATGCCCATCCAGCCTAAATTCCTCATATCCTTTCATCTGAGAGAAAGATGCTCTGTGGGGCTGGTTGAACTGAAATTGCCAAAAGTTACAGGAAAACTGGGTCTAAGTTTGAGAAAACAAATCCTTGAACTATAATTAGAAACTTCTCCCTCTTCGATAGGATGGTTGAAAAACAAAAAGATGAACGGACTTTGGGCACTTTCTCAAAGTACACAGGTCATATGGTCTGCCTCCCTCCTACATTTCTGTGGTTCGTTTATGAGTTTCCATATATTCCTCAGCATGTGCATGTTATGTTTTCAAATGAAGTGATTGAATTTAGACGTTTAAATTTCATAACTGAACAAGACTGTTTCCTCAGGCACTAAGAATAATAATATGTGTTGAAAATTTTTAAGATACAAGTTAATAGGGCATTTAATCATAAAGATTACTTTGAGATAGATACTTTGCTTTGTTTTCTGGCTGCAAATGTTTTTGACATTTAGCATTTTTAGTTTTCTTTTAAGCCAACATCAAAAAAAACAAAAACAAAAAACCACTCCATTTGAGCCCCCAAATGATCATGGCACTTACTGGCCACAGGCTTTCATTTCCCCCATGTTGTCTGTAAACAAGGGCAGCAGGTGTGGCTAGCTACAGAGACAAAGCCAGACAGAGGAGGGAGACTCTTGGATCCAAGCTCTGTACTGGAAGGGCAGAATATCACCCAGAACATCCTTTGCGACATTAGAAAGCAACTACTAGACCCTCCGGCCAACTTTGTGCGATGAAGGCTACTTCTTGTCCCCACTTCTTGGCATAATGGGTGCTAGACTCTTCCCCTCCATCAGGCTGTTTCATTGTAAGTTTCATGAATGACCGGGACTCTTTCTTTCATCAAAGGATGATAATTCATCATGTGGGGTCCAACCATGGCAGTGTTATGGAGGCTGGGAACATCCTGTTAGAAGGGATTCACTAAAGAACTCAAACCACCTACATACACACTTGGGGAGGGTGAAAGGGCCCTCGGGTTGTCTGGGTGTTGAACTTGTGTAGAAATCCTCAGGTTCCTGTTTGAGGCCCTCGCTTGACTGTGAGCAAATTGAGGGTAGCAGCTTAGGCCCCTGGGCTTAGCAGAGGGCTTCGTTCATAGCAGGAGCCGAATACCCTTTTCCTGAAGATTAAATATTAAGTCTTACACATCTAGGGAAACCAAAACCCGAAGACCAAGATCATAAAGGTGGTTTTCAGTGGAGCTACAATGGTCAACCAAGCCCTGACAGCTTCTGTACCATGAGCCAGTGTGTCATTCCTGCAGAGTATCTACCAAGCCTTCCTCATCTCAGGGCAAAGGGCTGTGGGTGTTTTAAAGGCCCTCCTTACCCTTTGATTCATTTACAATCTAGTGAGGAAGTTACATCTATAAACTGGATAGAATATGTGCTGGTGCTTAGTAAGAGACTTCAATGGAGCTAGCTTCCAGAACCATTAACACAGACATAGGTAAGACACATAAACTTATTTTTTCCACAGTCCTTCCCATCTTAGTAAACAGCCCCTCATCTCTCCCAGGTGCTCAGGCTACTGGATCTTCCTAGACTCTTCTTTCTCCCACATTCCACCTGCCAACAAATCCTGTTAGTTCCATCATCAAATGTAAGCAGAACCGACTTCCCTCACCTGATGGGTGTGCTAGCCTCTGTCCCCCTGCTTCCTCCTTTGTCCTTCTTGACTTTTCTCACCACAGCAGAGGAATTCAGAAAAGATAGGTGGACCATAGTCACTCAGTAGTGCCGTCACCAGGGGCTCCTGCCTGTGACTTCCCCTCACTCATCCTGCTATGCAATCTCCTTGGTGTTCTTGAGGGCATCATGCATTGTATTTCTCCTGCCTAGGAGGACCTTTCCCCACATACCTGCGAGTCTCCCTTACCACTTACCTTCTCCGAATCTGCTCAAAATACTGCCTTCCTCAGTGAGGACTCATCTTCAACTTCACCCTCTGCCCATCCCATCTGCAGCACTCCCCGTGTCCCTGCCTCATGTCACTTCGCTTTATGCTTATCAACAGGACACACTTTACCGTTGTCCTCCTCCCACGATGTAAGCTTCAAGGAGGCAATGCTTTTTGCTGTATCCTTACATGGATTTTTTGGTGTATGGTTTAGGACTGAGACTCAGGGTCAAGATTTGAAATTTACTTTAGCTCATGGTCCAGTGTTTCCCAAATTTTACAAACAAACAAACAACAAAACCCCCCAAAATCTCAGGCTCCAAAGGTAAGAATCAATCACGGTCTCATCTGAGTGGGTAGCAAGCAAGATTTTGTTGATCTTTACTTTTGGTAGCTTATATTACAAAAGTAGGTTAATTATTTCCATGAGTAAAATTAAAATATTGACTATGCCTTTTCAAACTATATCCCTTTCCTCTCTTGGTTCCTGCATTTTCTCAGGGAGATTCTGGTCTGCCTCTCTAGGGGTTGTCTACCCCAGTCTGTACTGAGGATCCATCTCAAGTCATGGGTGCTTCTTTAGCAGCAGCATGGTCTTCTTGGTTCTGGATGGAGTTGAGAAATATGTTAAGTTTGGAAGACAATGTTGTCTGCTCCAGAGTAAAGAATTCTTCCTTGATTAGTGAAATTTATTTATCTAAGACTGAACTCCATCTCTAAAAAGCAGATAGTACAAAACAAAGATTTGAAACATAAGGCAGAAAATGAAATACAATTTTTTTTGGGGGGGGGGGCGCAAGGTACAGGGGATTGAACTCAGGGGCACTTAGCCATTAAGCTGCACCTCTAGCCCTATTTTGTATTTTATTTAGAGACATGGTCTCACTTAGTTGCTTAGAGCCTCACTTTTGCTGAGGCTAGCTTTCCTCCTGCCTCAGCCTCCCAAGCCACTGGAATTACAGGCATGTGCTACTGTGCTCGGCTGAAATGCATCTTAATAGGGCCTTAATTAAACAAGTCTCAGATTTTCTGATGTCAATATAAAACATAGGCATAAGCTCCAAAAATGGTGGCAAATACTGTATCCAAATTAAGGTATCAAATAGCAAAACACATGTTAAAGAATGAACTTGTTGGGCACAAAGATCAAATCCCAGATGAGGATGTGTATGAATAATGAAGACCAGAGACCTTTGAGCATCAGTTTATTTGAAGCAGGTTGAGTCTATCCAAAACAGTATTCTCTGAAGGGTCTGAAGAGGAGTCTAGCATTTGCCATTGAAGTGTAGCAGAAAATCTAGACCAGTGGTGTGAAGCTGTGTCTTGTTTTGAATTTACGTGTGATAAAGGGATGTGGCTACATCTCGGCTGCTTCTCATTTTGGCATCATGCAATTTGGTGGGGGGAAACACCCCAAACCTCCAAGTATGGCCCCCTCTCCCTTAAAGAACTATCTTCTTAAAAATATCTTAAAATAGAACCCTAAGTCTGATGTTTCTTATAAGTTATTCTTTATACTTGAGCTAGAATGAGAGGGATTGTGGTATTTCAACAAATAGATTCAGAACCCTAACCCTTCCTCTTTGTTAACCTTCAATTCCTCTGGAGTCTTGGGCTGCTGTGCTCTGTGGGAGATTTATTTCAGGATACTAAAGGGGCTACTGAGGCAATAGTGGGGAAAGATCTCAGCTTCTCACACTGGGGGCATCATCTACCTAGTAACCTAGTCTTTGGTGCTGTTACTTTATATCCCCTAGATAACTCATCAACGGGGCATGGCACAGAATTCTAACAAGGAGATGCACTGAAGGGCAAGTACAGGGCAGATTAACCTACAAGTGTCAATGCAGGACCCGAGTGGTCAGATGCTGACTTCTTTGAGATGAACAGAAAGCAGGATTCTTTAAAAAGTCAATGTGGGGGGCTGGGGATGTGGCTCAAGTGGTAGCGCACTCGCCTGGCATGCGTGCGGCACGGGTTCGATCCTTAGCACCACATACAAAGATGTTGTTTCCGCCGAGAACTGAAAAATAAATATTAAAAAATTCTCTCTCTCTCTTAAAAAAAAAATTAAAAAAGTCAATGTGGGCTCAGCTCTAAACTTTTCACCCAGACAGGGGAGGACTATATTCCTCCACACTATATGTGTGTGCCACTGGGGAACAACAGGAGACTGGTGCCTGAATACTGCAGGTCCTCAAGATAACAAGGCTGGCAAATGGTTGAACAAACAGGAATGCAGTCCATCAAAGCCTGGTCTCATCAAGTGGCAGAAAATAATACTGGATTCTTCCAGATTGCTTTGCTCTAATTTGTTTTTTAAGACTTCTCACTTCTACTATTCCCTTACTAATAGTTAAGGTGCAGTGATTTTTTAAATAAGAAATTCCTAAGTCTGTAAGTAAGCTATCACAAAGAATAGAAGGAATGGACAGGCTTCTTGTAATTTATTTGAGTTATTTCCAAGCGACAGTTACAAAAGTTTTTAATTTTTATAATACTCTTGATAAGAAAATAAAATTTAAATAAAAATACATTCTCAACAATACAACATGGTTACACAAATTCACTATATTAAGTTTTGATAACTTACATTTTCAAACTGGACACTGTAAAAACCAATATTTACTAGCAACATATTAATTTCCAAGTTAAAAATGGAAGCAGATAATATCAATCAAGATTGGTAATTTAACTCTAGAATGAGTCTTGGATTTTTCACATACTGTAAGGACACCTAAAAGTCTATGCAGAATTCTGTCTTTACAGGATGTACCGTTAGAACAAATTAAAGGTACTTTCACTAAAAAAAAAAATATTGTTTTTCAAAACCTGGCATGAATGAACTTTTCCCATAAATGAATGAAATCAGGCTTCAGAAACAGAAACAAAAGCCATATCATCACCTTTTATTTTGTAAAATCAAAAAAGCCTGGTTTTGATACTTAACCATTACTCGTGATTAATAAAATGTATCTCTTTGGCAAATAAAATAGTTCAATTTGATAAATTATAATCCTGGGAGTAAAATCTTTTATTATTGCCTATTATCTTATTAAATGAATATTTAAAAAATCAAGCTAAACAACAACATAACAAAACAAGCAACAGATCACTGTAATTTCAATTGATGGAAATGGTTAAACCAAGAATCAGAGTAGGCGTTTACAGCAAGAAATTTCTTTTCCCCATCACCCTTTTCTGTCCTTCCTGGGATTTCCAGGTTTTTAGGGAGAAATGAGCTGCCATGTATTTTTTTCAAACGCTTTCAGAAAAGGCAGAGAGGGCAGACCAGGTAGTAAAACCCATGTTCATGAGTAAAGAGGCCCCTGGAAAGCAAGGCCCTGGGTTGTCTTAGGGCCCTACTCACACTGTTTCTTAATGCAATGACTCAAGGAAAATTAACCCCACATTTCTCTTTTTAGACTTTATCATGCTGGTTACTTCCAATCAAAGTAGCTGTTTGAAAGTGTCATGTGAAGAAAATAGTGAGATGACTGAACTCTCCCTCCAAACCCAAAGGTATGGACGGGTGCCCACAGCCTAGGTCCCTCTGATTGCCCTGTAATCTTTAGAAATAATTGTAATTGGGGATTTGGATTCGAAATGTTAGGAGAATTTTTTTTTTCCCTTAAAAAAAGAAAAGAAAAGCCACTGAAGAGTAATGAGTGGGACCTGGTAATGCAAGTAGACACTTCTAGGGAATCCTAAAGTGAATTTTAATCTGAATAAAATTTATCATAAATTTATTTAAATGGCTAAATTATTTTGCATTTATGAATCAGTGTGATTTATGGAATGTATAAATTCATAAAATTTAAAGTACTCTTCCAAATCTCAGTATGGGCCAGGGGTAATAACTTATCGTAATGCAGACAAGTGATGACTCTCAGATACAATTGATTTTTACAAGTTGTTTAGAGAAATGCATTACTCAGTCACTTATGAAATGACTGTGTGCCAATGGTTTTTAAAAATGATTACTTAATCATAATACAATTTAAAAACAATTACTCACCAATACCAGAATTGGCAAATATATCTTCAAATATAGCTTATGCTCAGGGAAACAAACAAACAAAAAAGAAGTACTAGCTAGACTTACATTAATAAGTCACAGTTTTAAACAGGAACATATGTAAATACTCCAAGGTTCAAAGTACCTCATTTAGAAAACGTTCTGAATTTAAAAAGACAAAATAAAGTACCATGATTTTTAATACTGATGAAGCAAAGTATATCCCTTTAACTTCAAGGTGGCAACTTGCTTCGACTGCTAATTTACAGTTACAGTTTTTAGGACAGAAGTAAATTACTATGGAAAAATAGGATTCAAATAGTTGCTGACTCAAATTCCATTTTGCTAGTAGGCAATAAGGAAACAGCAATGAAATACAAACATTTTCAGGAAAGCACTATTTCTAGATTTAAACACTGATCATTCAACTGATCATAAAGACAGATACCATAGAGTATCTAAGATATAATCTGGGGCAGGCCAGATTATTAAAGTGCGCCAAGTGACTGTTCTTGGGTTAGACTGCCATCTAACACTATGAAGAGGGCGTCCTTACAGTGCCCTTATTATAGCATGAAACAGCAGGTGAAGTCAAGTGATTTTCCCACCACCTTCTTTCACTGTTTACTTTCTCTTCTGGTTTAGAAGAGATGTCCTTAGAAGTCATGTTAATCTGAACTCTCAAATCAAGAAAATGAGTACCTGATATATAAAACAATAAAAAATATTTAGTGGTCTCATTTTATTTCATCTGCCATCACTCATCCCAAATGTAAACATGATGCACACAATAGCACATATTCCCTGATTGCTCCTGAGTTCTGTTTACATCTTTAAATAGGCAAAAGGATCTACCAACTTTCAAGGATGCTCTGGCAGTTTTCTAAAGTCTCTGTCACTGTCTCTACCATAACCTGTAATGACTAATGGACCAAAGGAAAAAAAAATTTTTTTTCTTAAAAAAGGGAAGGTCCCAATGAAGTAAATGGAAAGCTCTGAATTGATAAGGATTGAAATTTTCTAGTAGAACACTATGTTGGCAGTATAGAGCAGGCACTAATGGTAGTGAAAACAAGTCCACAGAACAGAGAGTTACAAGAAGAGATGGTTTCCTGCTACGGAGAAGTACTCCCTTTGTTACAAAGCTTCTTTAGGAACCTTCTTTAGGAAGATTCTATTAAAAAGAAGTTGCTGATACATGAACTTTGACATACAAGATATGAAGGAAATCTTGGGTTTCAAATTCTCTAATAATACATCAATACCAGAATTCCCCAAACAGTTAACTTCAATCATTAAATATTAAATACAATGTGAATGCAGATGACATTGAAGCCAACATTCATTCTTAAATATTATGAACAAAATATATGGTGAATTGGAAAACTCCAAGAAGAATATTTTCCAGTTCTCTTGGACCAACTGGTCAAACTCTTAAGATGTTTTCCCAATTGGATTTTCCCTAGAAAACAGTAAAAGAAAACCATTTTTCAAAAGTTAAAAAATAAACAAATTAAAAAAGTGACAAATACAGAATCCATCAAGCATATTCTTCTTAATTCAAGAAGTACTTACTGACTACTTACTACATTTTGGGTACTATTCTAAAAGATAAGGATATGGCAGTGAACAAAGCAGGTGAAACCCTTGTTGTCATGGAGCTTTCATTTTGGTACAGCAAAAATAAATATTTAGTACTAGACAGTTTTTTTTTTTTTTTTTTTTTAAATAAAGAAAAATGGTGTAGTAGTACAGCATGTATAGTTATGGTGGGGGTACTATATAAGGAAAGTGGGCAAGGACTGGGTAGGACTTCCTATGGAAACTTCCCAGGGCTCCAAGAAAACAGGATTAATACTGTTTAAAAAGAACCACCAATTATACCAATGTAGAAAAGACAGTTGTTTACAATAAAACCTTTCTAATTTAAGAAGTTTTCTATCCAGGAAGAACATAAATATTTACACCTGTCAAACTGATTTTTGTTGTTTATAAGTAAAAATTATTAATACACTTAATTTTCAAAAAATATTTAAAACAGTGGGGCCAGGATGCAAATCAGCTGTGTGACCTTGGGTAAAGCACTTAACCTCCCTGAATCTTAGTTGTGTTAGTTCATGTTAGACTGTGTTAGTTCATGTGTTAGCCATGTTGGACTGATGTGAGGATCAATGAGAGAGTATTTACTATGGTGCGTACTGTTAACTGCTGGCCAAGAACCAAATCCTCCCTATCCACTTGGTTGTGAACAGAACTCTGATTCTGGTTCAGTACTGGGAAGCCCTCGTTTTCAAGAAAGACTGAGGGTAGTCTAGACGAGGTTCTTTTAGTGAATAGGAAAACAGTCTTTACTGACTCCAGACTATAAAAATGCAGGCCTCGAATTACTGTAGCTCATCTGTACTGATGAGGGGATAAACTTGAGGAAGATGAAAACCATCTCAACTGAGGATGGTTGAGTGGCAGGCAGTCCTTGATGACAGTGTTGAGCTGCTGAATTAACCAAACTAGAAGTGAGGATTAATTTTGGAAACCAAAAAATTTCTTGTCACCTCAATTAGGATTTTCTGCAACTTATTGCTAAAAGCAATCTAAATGATACGAGGTGAAGTACTAGGCATAGCGTCCCAGGGGTGGAGTAAGCTCCCAGCACTCGTTAGCTGTTGCTGTCATCCACTGTAGTATCCTCTGCATTTGAGATGAATCCACAAAATCAACTCTAAGTACTTCTAACATTCCCACAGCTGAGTTTGTTTCTTTAAACTACTCACTATATATAAGGCATCATGTGAGATATAAAGATGGATCCATAAAAACAAAAAGCTGTGAAGTATTGAAGGAATGAATTATAACACTAAACACAGAATACAGCAGGAGCAAGATGAAATGACAGCTGGACTGAAAAAGACAATGAGCACTTTGATTTTGAGGGGCAGGGAGATCCGCACAAGAGAAAGGCTCTAGCTGAGTCTTGACAGCCAAGAGTAAGCAGGCCTGCAACTGGTTATGAGGATGAGGTGGGAGAGACAGCCTCATATTGTTTAAAAACATGTGTATAGTAGGTAAAAAAAAAAAAAAAAAAAAAAATACTCACTTGCTCCCATATTTTGCACTACTTGATCTTTTCTTCCTATACTTCTCATGAGGTTCATCCAGCTTCTCTAGGATGCTCTTTATTTGCTGAATTGTCTTAAAGGTTGTTACAGAATCCTCAATTACAAAGTTAGAATAGTCATCAGGCTCTTTCTGTGGTCCTTGATAGACAGCTATAGTTCCACAAGCCTCTGGAAGGAGCAGTGAAATCTCTGATCACAAAACTAAATTCCATAAATGCAACTTGTAGTATAAATCAACACTTTTCAACTGTGTTAACTGTCTCTGGGGAGATTCCCCTTGGTAGTGCATAGACGTCGAAAATTTATCAACTGTATTATTAGGATCATTAGGTTTGCCCATGAATTTCTATGAAAAATAGCCCCCCCCACCCCCGCTTAGGTGTTTGTAAACTTTGGTAAATTTAGGAACACTTTCAACTTTTTAATAATGCCAAAGCAGTATTTTAGGAATTGGTAATAAAAGCTTATGGTTTTATGAAAACAGATTAGCTGTGTATTTATTTACCTTCCATCTTCTGCAGCTTAAGTAAACTGAGGGTAAAAAGGGAATAAATTCTTTCTATTTCTCTGTCTTCATCAATATCTATTTGGATGTCTGCAGGAACACCTCTATGGTAAAAATAAAATTAAAGACATTGAAAAAGTTTTATTTTGTTAACATACCAAAAGATTTTTGTTAACGTCAAAGACTTTTTTTAAATACTTTTTTTTTTAAGTTGTCAATGGACCTTTATTTTATTTATTTATATGCGGTGCTGAGAATCGAACCCAGTGCCTCACACATGCTAGGCAAATGCTCTACCATTGAGCCACAACCCCAGCCCAACATCAAAGACTTTTGATGGTCCAGGACAAAAAATAGAATCATGAGTTTTATAAAAATAACTTCAGAAATTTAGTTTTATTGATAGTTAAATAAAATGTGATCAAGAGGGGTTTGGTAACTATTTGACTCTAATTATATATAAGGAGAGGATTTTAACAAGATCATTTTTATAACCTACACTGTATCACAAAAGCAATTCATTATTACTTAAGTCTATAGGACTATGGTTATTCCATACAATTAGAGAATGCTAAATGCCCTTCTCTTCCTTGATATCTTGTTCAAGCTTCTTTTATGGTTGTGGTGAATGGGGCGGGGCAGGGGATTACAGATACTGGGGAGAGAACCCAGGGCCTCTCACATGCTAGGTAAGCATTGCACTCCGGAGCCACATCCCCAGTCCTTCAGGTTTGTGCTTCTATTTAAACAATGCCATTCTTTCTTTCTTTGTCTTTTACTTGTGCAACCATTATTAATTTCAGAACATTTTATTTTCTGGTACTGGGGACTGAATCCAGGGTGCTCTACCACAGAGTCACACCCCCAGCCTTTTTCATTTTGAGATAGGATCTCAATAAGTTGCCAAGGCTGGCCTTGAACTTGTTATCCTTCTATCTCAGCCTCCTGAATGGCTGGGATTACAGATGTGCACCATCACACCTAGCTTATTTCTAACAGTTTCAACACCTTCTCAAATCCTGTATTCATTAGCACTCCCCATTCCTCCATTCCTTCATCCCCGGCCACCACTAATTTATTTTCTGTCTCTATGAATTCACCTATTCTGGACACTTTATACAAATGTTTTCCTACAATATGTGGTCTTTATGTCTGGCTTTCACTTAGCATAATGTTTTCAAGGTTCATCTGTATTGCAGATTGTATCTGTACTCCATTGCTTTTTATTGTCTATAATACTCCATTGTATGGATATACTACGTTTTGAAACATCGCTTTTTTAATAGGAAAGAAACTTACGCAGTACATGGCTTGCAGCCTGGAGTGTTTTCACTAGTCTCTTGACAGCAGAGCCAGTTTCCATTTAGATATGCTGAGGGATGGAAAGAACTGAGCCTATTTTGATTGCATCGGCTCACCCTGCAGAGTATATCTATCCATTCATTAGCTTCCACACAATTATTTGCCTGGACATAAAGTGGTTTCTCTGTATGTATTACCTGGAACATCTTCATAGGCAATTAAGATAAAAAGTTAGTCTTCAAAATCAGAACACTGCACATAACAGAAAAATATATATAACAGAAATCCAGTTTGCTTGGCTAGATAACTGTGCCAAAATATTTTATGATTATTATTTTTTAAGCAAGTTAGTCTCAAAGACAATCTGAGTTAGATGGTACTAAGAAGCAATACAACATAATGGAATTTCCAGGAGCCACACGTGTTGCGAAGAATGGATTTTCATGTAAATAAGAATAAAGGGAGGGAGGGAATTTCAGATTGAGGAAAAGGTATGAAAAGGGAAAGCAGTGGGGAAATACTGAGGAATGACGACATCATCTTGCTAGCTTGAGTGGAGCATATGTGCTGAGTGGTAGCAGAAGACAAAACTAGATAAACAGGTTGGGATGATATCACTTAAAGACCCGAACATCAATATAAGAGGAAGTGAGGGGAAAGGGGGAAAAAAAAACAAGGGAGAGAAATGAATTACAGTAGATGGGGTAGAGAGAGAAGATGGGAGGGGAGGGGAGGGGAGGGGGGACAGTAGAGGATAGGAAAGGCAACAAGAATACGACAATAGTATGGCAGTATGTAAAAATGTGGATGTGTAACCAATGTGATTCTGCAATCTGTATATGGGGTAAAAATGGGAGTTCATAACCCACTTGAATCAAATGTATGAAATATGATATGTCAAGGACTATGTAATGTTTTGAACAACTAATAATAAAAATTAAAAAAAAAAGACCTGAACATCATACAGAGAAGCGTAACAGTAGGGAAGTACTGAGAAAATTTCCTTTAACTTAATAAAGTAGGCAGACTGAGGCATCAATTATGGACAATTTCAAGATGAAGCATGAGCTAACAATTTATAAACTCAATAATTTTGGTAAACAATAAAATAAACAACTTCTTAAAAATTAAATAATATATATAGCTTAAAATGCTTTCAATATTTATATAACTTACATTTTTCCTATTGAAAGAGCTCTCTTCCAATTTTTCCACAGCAAGAATGTTTTTTACTGGAATTGTGTAAATTGCATCTTTGCCTAAATAATAAATAAGACAAAATTAAAATAATTTCTGTCAAAATTACAAAGGTAAGAAGTTAATATAGAGTTTAAGTTCTTCCTCTTGATGGCAGAAATATATATATATAACCTACAGTAGACTTCTAGATAGTAGGTATTTTTTTGTTTTATGCAACAGATGAATTTTGATTATTTTCTATAAACTAACTTCCTTCTTACTTTTTTCAATATAAATTAAAGCACTGTCAGGGAAAAATGTGGGAATAAATTTGATATCAATGTAGAAAATAAGAATGCTCCAAAGTTTGTACCATTAATTCTATGGAAAATGAAATGACTAAATACTTAGCAATAGAGACCTATTCAAATAGAGGCTGAGGCATGGAATTTTCTTTAATGGGAGTTGTTACGTAAGTACTGGATATGGTTACATAAGCAGATTTTTTTTTCTATTTCTCCAACCTAATATTTAATTAAGAGTTTAACCCTCAATTGGGCATGGTGGTGCTGTGCATGTAATCCAGTGACTTGACAGGCTGAAGCAGGAGGATTGCAAGTTCAAGACCAGCCTTCACAACTTAGCAAGGTCCTACGCACCATAGTAAGAGCCTGTCTCTATAAAAAATAAAACAGGGTTGGGGATGTAACTCAGTGATAAAGTGTCTATGGGTTCAATCGCTGGTACCAAAAAAAAAAAAAAAAAATTAACCCTCAAAACAATGTTTTTTAACTAAAAAATTGTGTTCATGACTATCACATATCGGCTAGTCAGCTGACTACACTCCAAAGCCACAAAATTTACTCTAGGAGGTACAGGCGACAAAAGCAAAATTTTTATCTGGTGGAGTAAATCTTTCAGCTAATTTAAGGGTTTAAAAATTCAGGCAGAGAAATTTGAGCTGAAGGAGCTCCATAATACTACGGCATGAAATATGAAGCACGTTGACTTCCAATTTATTTGAGAATAAACTACCTCTCGCACGATCATAGAAACTACAGGCAAATATAATTCTGTTTTCTGGTCATTATATAATGCCTGAAGCTTTGCTTTAAAGACTGTGGATCAAAATGCTGGAGATTAGGAACTTTTTTTTTTTTTTTGGTGCTGGGGATAGAACCCAGGGCCTTGTGCATACAAGGTAAGCACTTTACCAACTGAGCTATATCCCCAGCCCCCAACTTTACCTTTTATAATTCAATGGATTAGTACCTTTTATATTATTCATTGGATTAGTGTAATTTTTTTTGGCAAAGAAAACTATTTGGTTAATAAAGAGCTTTCTGTCTCAAAAAGAGAGGTTAATATGTTAAGCCAGCTTCCTGTTATAAAATCTAAAATTTAGGCCATTAAAGCAGATGTGATGTGTGTGTGTGAACATGTGTGTATGTAAAAAAAGATATGTTTAATGTCTACTATGTATCAAGCACTGTTCTAACTGATCATGATAGAGCAGTAAACAGAACATACAAGGTCCCCTATGGAGCTTGCATTTAGGTCTGGAAAGACTGATAGAGGACAAATAAATATTAACTAGAGATAAATGCTACAATGAAAATAAACAGGTGATGCGACAAAATGTAATTTGGAAGTTATTTTAAATTGGGTGGTTAGGGAAAACATCTCTGAGGAAATGGCATTTACGTTAAATAAATATGAACCATAAAGGCATAGGAAAATACTATTAGTGGTGTCTTGGAAGCAGAACAGATAACATGAGGGTGAGGGAGGGAGTAACTGAAGGAAGCCATAGCTCAAGTTAAGTGTGGGATAAGATGGCTGCAAAAGTAGGAGTAGTTAGGCAGAGATTCAAGACAGTGCACACAGACAGCTGGATCAGGAGGGACTCAGTCATACATCAGGATTATTAACAGATGAGCTGCATCTGGAACAGCTGGGCCAAATGTCCACAAGCAGACACAGCAAAGATGTACAGTGGGCTGCAGGGTGCAATCTCACAGGCAGCTGCTGACCCTGAGGAGACAAGCAGCAGCACTCCTGCCCTCCCTCACAATCACAGAACACTCAAGAGATGAATGGATCATAAAACACAAAGATGGGCAAATTACCAGGACAATAAACAAAGAGATGAGGAAAAACATCACTCTGAAGAAAAGATGCACGTGATTGAAAGGTTAACAACTGAGGAAATCAGGAGTATAAAAACTTGGGTGGGGGGCAGTGGGCAGAGGAGATACATGTTATCTGGGTACTGACAGGATACCACAGAGATTCTAGCCAGAGAATTTTAAAAATTTGCAGGTGGACCTGATCTTCAGATTTATTGAATATACAATACAGACACATAGCCCTTTATTGGGGTTCCCCTAGCCACCCTATTTCTGGACAACTTTTAAAATGCGGTATATGGAGAAAATGCACTGCTCTCAAACACATACTCTGTCATAATATCATCAGGGCTAACTTCACAGTAGTGCTAATATTGAGTCCAATATGAGTTAGTAAAATGAATATTTTATTGAGGAAGCTCCAAAAATACAATACAAAAGGACAAAGAAAGTAAGAGAAAAGTTTGGGCCATAGTGAATGGATCTCAAAGTTTCATTATATGACTAATAATTTAAAAAATAGAATAGAAAGTGTTTAGGAGAAAATTAGAAGTAAGAATATCCCCATGAAGAAGGTAGAAACTGTCAGTCAGTTGAAAAAGATCTATCAAGTACTAGGCAGGATAAAAGAAAAGAAAACAAAACCAAATACCTAAATTCTGGGCAGTACAATACCCGAACATAAAGGCTAAAGAAGATTCCTAAGAGTTTCTAGAGAGAAGAATCCAAAGACTGAGAATCAGATTGACATAAAAATCCTCACCAGTTAAAATGGAAGCTGGTAAACAATGGGACAGTATTTTCAAAGTTCTAAGAGAAAAATGATTTTTAAACTCAGTTTATAATTCAAGAGAAAGGATAAAATAAAGATTTTTTTATATATATATATGCAAGGACTCAGAAAATTTATCAGCCGTAAAGTGTATGTAAAAAAATTTCTTGAGGAAGTACTCTTGTCAAATAATTATGAATCTAGGAAAAAGTCAGATATAATATATAAAAAGCAGTACTGGGCAAAGAAATAGAAAAACTGATAGACAAGGACAGAAAAGTTATGAAAACAATGTAAAAAGGTAAAAGAAGAAATTTGTAATGTTTTGAACAACCCACAATAAAAAATTAAAAAAAAAAAAAAAAAGGTAAAAGAAACACCCATGAATAATAATGCCAGATGACTTCATTATGGCGATATCAGGAAAAGATATGAGCATGATAATATTCTCTCCAGGCTTGAACAGAGACTTGGATTGACTGTAGACATTAAGATAAACACCTAAGTTTAAATTTGTTAACAATTCAAAATAGAAACAGAATGTCCAAATTCCCTCCTTGGGAGGAGGAGCATATATGCACATAAGCATATGCTTAATTATTCCAACAAAAGGAAAGAAAAGAAAAAGTAAATCCAATAAACAGAAAAAGCCTAAAATAGAAAATGCAAAATTAGTAATCACAGTAATCACAATAAAAGTGCCATAAAATTTCCCTACTAAACAACTACAATCAGGTTTTAGTTAAATTGTCATTATCTCCTTAAAAAATTAGAATTACCACAAAATGTACTGATCCCACTTCTATGTATATATCTAAGAGAGCTTAAGACATATATCTATGCAAAAACTTGCAAATGAATGTTCACAGAAGCATCATTCATACTGCAACTGAAGTGTCCATCAACTGATAAATCAATAAACCCAATAATAGTATACAACCATTCACTAGATTATTATTCAACCATGAAAGAAATAAAGTGCTGACTGATGCTAAAATATTATGTTAAAAAAAGATGTCACAAAAGGCTACATATTTATTGTATGATTCCATTTATATAAAATATCTAGGACATGCAAATCCATAGGAGACAGAAAGTAAATTAGTGATTGCCAAGGGGTGGGAGAAGAGAGGGATAGAGAGTAGCTATTAGTAAGTGTAGAATTTCTGTCTTGGATGATTAAATGTTCTTAAATTAGTGGGATTGCACAACTTTATAAATACAGTCATTGCTTAGTATCCATGGGGGATTGATTCCAGGGTCCTCTGCCCCTCTCCCCTCAAAGCCCTAAATCCTTGGATGTTCAAGTTACTTGTATAATATGGCATGTTATTTGCATACAACCTTAATACATCCTCCCACACTTGAAAATCATATCTATTTGTAATACCTAATACTATGCAAATGTAATAGAAATAATTGTTATATTGCCTAGTTTAGGGAATAATGACAAGGGGAAAAAAATCTACATGTTCAGCACAGATGTAACATCAGAGGCCTAACTACAGTTCTGATCTGTGGTTGGTTGAATCATTGTATGTGGAACCTGGGTATACAGAAGGCCAATTGTATGATGAAAACCAATACATTTTATACTTTTAAAAGGGTGAATTTTAAAATAATAATTTCATAATAATAAAATAAAAGTTATTACCAACACAATGTTGGCCCCAAGGGACACAGTTAAAATAATCATGATTCTATTTTTGATAATAGTGTAAGAAACTTCTGTAATTCTGTTTCACAGAAGGCAAGTATTAACCAGGTGCGTATTATTGTAACAAAATATCTGAGACAGTTAATTACAAAGAGAAAGGTTTATTTTGGCTCACAGCTTTGAAGATTTCAGTTCATAATCAATGGGCTCCACTGCTTTGGGCCTGTGGTGAGGCAGGATATCATGGCAGGAGTGTGTTGGAGCAAAACTGCTCACTTCATGGCCAGGGATTAGAGCAAGAGATTGGGTCCATCAAGGGTATGGTTATAATGACCCAAAGACTTCCCACAGGGTTCTAACTCCTAAAACTAAACCCTCCCAAGAGGACCACCCTGGGAACCAATTTTATAACACATGGACCTTTGGAAGACATATTCAAACCACAACAGCAAGTATAAAACTCAGCAAATCACTGAAAATAACCAAGGGTAGATGACAATCTGAGACATGCTTACTCATGAA